AAAAAAAAAAAAAAAAGAGTTTGTATCATCTAATACTAGTACAACACCGTGTATTACACGGGTAATTATTAAAAAATTATTCTTAAATTTTAAAATTAATAAGAAAACTATATTAAATTTAGTTTACTTTTTTACCAAAAAAAAAATATATTACTACATATTTTAGAATGATATGTGTTACTTATAACTTATATCATATAACTACTTGAAATATGAATATATTAGTTGATAAATAATTTTATTTTTCTAATTAATATTAAAAATAATTTTATTATTGTTATAAAGATAAATATAAATGATTTTTTTATACATACATTATGGATGTTAAATCAAAGCTCATCAAAAGAAGATTAATTTGATATATTATATATGTAAAACTGATAAAAAAATACAAAAGTTATTAACTTTTAAAATATATATACAATTCAATAGTTATAATAAGGAATGATATTAAAATGCAATTAATACATGTAACATGACCATAAATAATCAACATATTTATGGTAATCCGAACCTAATTATTTTTGGTTTGGAATTAAATTAAAATTTACCCAAGCCTAATAACGAAGCATGTAATTTTGTCACATAGGATTCCGAAGCACCAGAAGCAGCCACGTAGGCTCAGCGCGTTCTGGATTAATAGATAGGGGGATAGGTGGGACGAGTTAGTGTGAACACTGAACATATCTAATACATTGTATTTTTCCTATTTTGGATTTTTCATATTTCTTCGAATTTTTTAAAATAGACTTTACAAGTTTAAATAAATCGATCTTAAACTTACATTGTGAATTATCAAACTTCGATCGATTGAGCTTTTGAAATTAATCGAGCAACAACTGATAATTGGTTTAAAAAATCTGAAGAATGGCAAGTTGGTAATTAAAATTCTCGTGTAATTTATATTTTTATTTAAAATAAATTAATATACTGCAAAGTCACTTTTCTAGGCTTCTTGGACATCCACCTTATGAACAGGGCCCTAATCTCAAAACAGTTGTGGAGAGTCTGCTCCCAACCTGACCTACTGGTAAGCAAGGTACTGAAGGCTAAATACTTCCCTCACTCTCACATGCTTTCTGCAAAAAAGCCCAACAGTGGCTCATGGCTATGGTCTTGCTGGGGAAAAGTGCTGCCCTTTTTCTCTAATAATGTGAGGTTCATCATCAAAAAAGTTACGTATGTCAACATTTAGGATCACCCATGGCTACCTGAGTTGGAATCTCTCAGACCAAATCCTCAGAACCCATGGAAGCATCTGCACACCCATGTCCATGAACTATTGGTCTGCACTGGCAGAAACTGGAATATGGATCTGGTCCATAGCACTTTTCCACCCTTTGAATTACAAGCCATCCTTAACCTCAAAGACCTTAATCCAAATGGCTCAGATAAACTGCAATGGTGCTTTGGGAAAAAAAGGATGCTTCTCAGTTGCCTCTGCTTATGCCAGCTTGATTGAGGAAAAATGGAAGAAGCTAGACATACCTGAAAGTAGCAGCTCTTACCTCAATATCAAGGCAGCTATAAAGAATATATGGACTCTCAACACTGCCAGCAAGCTCAAGCACTTTATCTGGAAGTGCTTCACCAACGCACTACCTGTAAAACATCAGCTGCTCATCAGACTTAAACACATAGATCCTATTTGCAAATCTTGTGGTGCTGAATTAGAAACTCTTGAACACTTCCTCTTTCTGTGTTGCAAGGCCAAAATAGTTTGGAAATTGGTTGTCGTTTCATAGGATGATTTTGACAAGGACTCTTTCAACTTCAAGCACTGGTGGATAGGGGTCTGCAACACAAGACATTCATCTTGCTTCATGCAGAGACTCAACCTCATTGTATACGTCCTCTGGTGGCTTTGGAAAGCCATAAATCTATGGGTTTTCCAAAATTTCTGGCTTTGTGAATACTCTATTATCCAAGCAGCTACCTCCTCGTGGATGGAATTCTCTTCATGTTCAGCTTAGTCTAGTTTAGTTTATTTGCTTTGGTTGGCTCTGCTAGTTTCTTTCTTTTGGGCGTTCTCTTTGTTTCTTGTTTAGTAGTGATGGAGTGGCTAGGTCCATTTGTTCAGTGGTCGCTCCATATTTTGACAATACTCATCTGGGCAGTACGGTTATACAAAGAATAGGGCCGGATCTTTAGCCTCAGCCTTTACCGGTTTCCTATTCCTTGTATAACTTGGGGAATATTTTGTTTAGGTCGCAGCTTGTTTCCTTGTTTGTACATGATTTTCTAGTGATATAATATTTATCGTTTCGAAAAAAAATAAAAAAATATTAAATTGCATTTCGTTAAATATATATATATATATAATATTTATTGCAGAGGAAAAAAAAATCCAAAAAATATCAGTTGCATTTTATCAAAATTTATTAGCTTCCAAAACTAAAAAATATAGCTGAATAGTTGAAGTTAGGGCGGAATTATTATCCCTATCACCAAAACCAAATAACTGTTGGCTTACATATCTCAGAGTTGACACGAAAGCGGGCTCTGGGCCTGGGTCTTTTGATAGGGAGATGGACCCGACCGGCCTGAGAGCCCTCACCGCCATAACCTCATCATCTTTGCCGCTCCTCCATCTCCGCCCCAGAGCTACTCCTCTCCTCCGCCGCCCTTTTCTCTCATCTCAAAACAAATCTAGCCCTTTCAGCTTTCCTTTATTATCCCTATCTTCCTCGCTGTGCTGCTCATGTATGCATTTCTACAGCTTTCTTCACTAAGAAAGTCCGCATCTTTTTCCTCTTTTCCCTCTTTTTCTTTTATGGGTTTGATGTTTATCTGGTAAATTGCAGCCGAACGGTCCCCAGCCTGTGAGTCGCAAAATGGTTCGGGTGGGGTTGCGAGTAGAGTTCACCCGAACAAAGAATTTCTTCAGGTAGTGCTTGTTTCGCCGCAGGTAATGTCTCTGTACAATGGCCTTTTTGCTTCCTTTAGCTTTTGTGGTTATTAATTTATTCGTTACTAATGTGAACAATATGTGAGAAAGAGTGGCAGATTTTAGTACCATTCAGTTCAGAGTTTAGATACTCTTGGGTTTGAATTTTATGTTTGAGCTTCAGATAGTGTTTTCATGTGTTTTGTTGGATAGTTTCTGTACCATTCAGTTAAGAGTCTAGATAATCTTGGCTTTGAATTTTATGTTTGAGCTTCAGATAGTGTTTTCCTATGTTTTGGTGGATGCTTCTATTTTCTCCATATATTGGTTAAAGTGTTTTGATATTATTCTTGAATCAAAATTCGAAATTGACACTTTAATTTGAGCTTGAGGCAACTCGAAACACGGAATGTCGACTGATGGGCTTTGTCCCGTGCTTGGCAGATTCCTGGGAACACTGGATGCATTGCTCGAACTTGTGCAGCCTCGAATGTCAAACTGCACTTAGTCGAAGTACTTACATTAAACCATCTATTATGCTCTGTGTGTGGCGATATTGATTGTCTTCTTGGACTTTTTTTACTAAAGCTTTTGCTTTGATTTCTCTCTCTCTCTCTCTCTCTCTCTCTCTCTCTCTCTCTCTCTCTCTCTCTCTCTCTCTCCCTGTTTCAGCCACTGGGGTTTCAAGTTGATGATGCGAAGTTAAAGCGAGCTGGGCTTGATTACTGGCCGTATCCTTGCGAAATTTTTTGTGCATTTCTTAACATGGATAAATCGAGCGTTTAATACACATAACGATTTTACAGATGATCAAGTGTTTAGCTGTATAAGTTAAGGTTCAAGAATATTTTAAATACTTAACTCGGGAGATTAGATATGTGGTTGTGAAGGTGCATCGTTCATGGTCCGAGTTTCGAGACTACTTCATGAAACAGGTTTTTTTATCTTCTCTCCCTCTATCGTATTAGCATTAATTAATTAGAGTTGTAAGTTATTATTCCTCTTACTGATTGAGATTCAAATGGTGATCGTAATTAGGAAGGTGAGAAGCGGCTATTAGCATTCACTAAGAGAGGGGTACATACCCACTCCGTAAGTTCTTATTTCTCATTGGTTCAGGCCTCTTCTTGTTTTACCTTGAACCAAATAGCAAAATTACTTGTACATTTGAGTAAAAAATACAACCATTAGAGTGAATACATTACCACAAAGGAATATCAGTAATTCAGCATGGTATTTGTACATTCGAGTGCTGGTTCTAAAGTATTTAGTATACGAAATCTTTATGCTAAACATTTTGAAGAATGTCAAGATAAGGTTTTTTAACAAGTGTCTCAACAAATGGGTCACCTTCATGCAGGAATTTAAGTACCGAGCAGGTGACTGGCTCGTGTTTGGCTCAGAAACTAGTGGCTTGCCACCCGAGGCACTGGCCGATTGTAAAGGTGAATTACTCGGTGGAGGCACGATTCGGATTCCTATGGTTGAAACCTATGTCAGATGTCTGAATCTCTCTGTAAGTGCCGGCATTGCTTTGTACGAAGCATCTAGACAACTCGACTATGGAAACCTTCAAACTCCATCGGAACTTTCTATTAGAAAAGATGCATGGGTACTAACTGAGGACATTTTTGCTTGAGTTTTATGCATACTCAGGATTGTGAACTTTCTCTAGGGAATATCTTTGTTGTATTAATTAGTTGCATTAATTCTTGGCTAAAGTGAGCCTAGTTTAGTATCAGGGATTCAATTTTGTTTGATAAAGATCCTAGTTAGCTGATTTGATTGATAGCAAGATGTGTATATTAAGCTTCTATAGCAGATTTACACCAGTTTGTTGTCCTTTGAGTGCAATATAAACCTTAAATATACTCAAGCATCACATAATGTACATAAGCTTCAAGAGCAGATTTAAACTAGAAGGATCGATATAGCTGCATTGAAACCAATAGGTATCCTGACAATAGCATTTTCAGCATTCACCCTCAACAATTATCATGGATCCACAGATCATAACAATTATTAATATCATCCTCTTACTACTTTCAACTTTCCCAAGCAATATACATGTTCTCCAAATTCAAAACCAGCAAGTAATCCATGTCTATAAAGAAATGCTTCCATCTAATAATAAAAGTATTCCGAAACACAAGCTACAAGGAAAAAAAAAAAAAAAA